TAGGATTGGCTTTCTTTAATTCCCATGTCAACAACAGCATCAAGAAAAATATGGCAAACAACCTAAAACAGCAGGCAAGGCAGAAATCTCTCAAAAGACTTGATGCTACCACATTCGACTGTCATAATCCATTGTCATCTTTCATCACACAACACACTGCAAAACTTATCAACCTAATTTTAAAGAATGGCTTTAAAAAGCTGAATCATTTTTAATAAAAAAATCTTCAGAGAAAGAAATGGATTCAACATATCTTGAAATGAAGCACAAGTTTTCTCAAATGAAGGTCATTAAGGATTGCACAGAACGAGGCATAACACTTATAACATCCTCTAAATCAAGCTTTACAAAAGGTGAAAACCAAAAACAGTATCTCTGTCAATTAGTTGATCTTCACTGGAAGTAATTTCCAGTTGTATTAAAGTCTTCTCTGATGAAGATGATAGATAATCGATTTTTGATTGCCTAGTGCAAGTAGTAGTATGTACTACATAAAAAAATACTGTACAAAATACTTTTTTAGCAGTATTGTTTTTAAACAATAGACATCGACAGTCCACATAATATTAGGTGTATATATGTAAAATTTAAGTGTATATATTTAAATAAAAAAAATATCTTTATATTATCATGTATAACATTGTGTACTTTAAAGAGTGGTCAATAGATAAACTAGAGCTATATAGTATATATATTACTGTTGGGAGGCTGAATAAACGCAAATTTAATAAGCGTGAAATGGTAATAAATGTGCAAACTGGCAAAAGTGCGCCTAAAGAATTTGCAAACATTGGTATAAGTGCGAACTGGTATATATGCAAACTGGCATAAAAGTGTGAAGCAGTTGCAAAAACTGGCATAAGTGCAAATTGTCATAAGTGCGCTAAAAAAAATTGCAAACATTGGTATAAGTACAAACTGGCATAAATGCAAAGCAGTCACAAAAACTGAAATAAGTACAAATTGGCATAAGTGCGCTGAAAAAATTTGCAAACATTAGCATAAGTGCAAATTTGCATAAGTGTGAGCTGGCATAAGTGCAAGCTAGCATAAGTGTAAAGCAGTTACAAAAACTGCCATAAGGGCAAACTGGCATAAATGTGAATTGGCATAAGTGTGCCAAATAAAACTGCAAATATTAACCAAAAAGTCCAAATCGGCATTTCACACCTATGCCGATTCGCACTTATGCCAGTTTGCACTTATGCTAATGTTAACAAATTATTTTAACGAACTTATGCTAGTTCAAACTTACACCAGTTTTATGCCAGTTGAAATTTATATAATTCGCACTTATTTAGTCTTCCTGTTTATTAGTTAAATGGTAATGTTTATAACAATTAGCTATGTTTATAACAATTAGTTAAATAGTAATGTTTATAACAATATAATATTGCTACGCTAAATTTAATTTTGTTTCCCAACAAAATTAGGTAAGTTAAAATTAGGTAGCAAAATTAAATATGATTTAAAAAGATTGTGGTTGATTAAAAAATATTGTGGTAACACATGAAACTCAGAGTAGCAATATTATATTATAAACATTAGCATTTAGTTAATTCCTGGTATTGCAGGTAATAGTAACATATATATATATATATATATATATATATATATATATATATATATATATATATATATATATATATATATATATATATATATATATATATATATATATATATATATATATATATATATAGGCTCACTTTTCAAAAATTTTATGAACTTGGCTGGCCATTCTTTTTTTTCATTTGATCATATAATACAGAGAACTATTTTCTTTATTTTCACATTTAATGTAAAAAGTAACTTTTAACTTAAAAACATTGGTTTTATAAATATATCATTCATGTAATATACAAAGTATTGCAAATAAAAATAGTTGCAAACTGCTTTGTTACTACTCTAATCAAGATATAACAACTTTAAATTGAATCCTTAACTTTAACCTTAGCTCAACTTACCCAATGACATATTAAAGTTAGACCATATATGATATATTTTTTTAAGTCTTGAAAATATATTGTTTACATGTATTAAAATAAAAAAAATTAAACAATGCTTTTACTTTTTTTTACGTTTTAAATTTTTTAATTATCATTAACTGGTACTCAGGCATCAGTTCTCTGTGTGTATTGTAATTGTGGTACTTATGAATAACAAATGAGAACCAATTCACTGACCTGTTTTTAACTATCCAATGTCAAATAATCTTTCCAAAATGTCCAAATCCATCCAAAGCTGAGATTAAATGTCATAAGTGGCAACTTATTGGTATGTAAAGCACAAATAATACAAATTAGATTTAACCTTGGCTTTTTCTTTAAATATTAAATGACTTTCATATTCCAACCTATTGTTTTTTATTCTTAACAATGTATAAATAATCAATGTATTATAATTTAATAAGATTAAAAAAAAAACCTGTGTTTATGTTGGTTGAGTCTGCTCCAATTGCAATTTATTGGTTTTCAAACCCATGTGATCTCCCTTTGGTGATATTTGCCATCATCACCATGTAAAAATATTTTTGTAAGATCTTATATCAAATATTATGCATTGTCTATTTCTTTAACTTCCTTATGTTTCTCTCCATTACTCTTTGCTTTGATCTATCAATTTTCTATGATCAAGAGGAAGACTTGAATCAGTTATTTTTAAAAAATTTGCACCTTTGGCTGCTTCTAATGTTGCAGTGTCTATTGATGCAGCTGCTCTGCTACTTATATTAAATCTTAATGCTAACAAAGCAATATGATTTACATTTTAAGGTATTTAGCTTAGATATTGTTTGTATATTTACAACACCTACAAAACCTTGTTAATGTTCTTGCATCAGTTGAAACTGCCATTACTGAATTGAGTAAAAATGATGCAAGTCTCATAAGAACTGAAGGAACTTACAATTTTTTTTTTTTGAAAAGTTGCAACCAATGCAAACTAGAATTGCCAAAAAATGCTATCAAAAAAAGGTGGAGTAAAGAAGAGATTCTGTTTTGATGACTCTGATAATTTATTAACAGAGTAGAAACATACCAAGTTCTAACAACCATTTTAAATATTTTTCAAAAAATGCAGCAACTTCATTTGCTGTTAAAATTATGTAACAAATATATCCAGTTTATAGATGAGCATGTAATAATGATGCTAACTCTTCTTCACCTGATGCATGTGAGTAAATAGAAATAACAAGTTGGATCACAATGAAAAATGCAGTAATTTTTATTTCAGATCCAAAAAACACACAATATCATTGCAAAATTGATAAATATATTGAACTGAAGAATTTTATTAATTGGATTCTTTCAAAAAACTCTGGACATTTTTTATCACGCTTCAATAAAAATTTGCGCAACCTTCTTCCCAAGCTTCTGAAAAAGTATTCTTAACAGCATGTTCAATTGAAATAATAAAAAGAACAAGTTTAAATTTTTAAACATTCAATTCACTTATTTTTAAAATATATGCTTTTATAAAATATTTTAAAGAATGATATAATCATTTAAAATTTATCATTAAACGTTTTTTTATTGAATTATTATTATTCTTCATTTTTCTTAATATTATATTTTACTTTTAATAAACTATTTGAGTATTTGAGTTTACAAATATTTTCACATTTTTTTATTCGGTGTTCGAATAGTTGAAAAGCTCATGTAGTTGGATAGTCTATCTTTGTCAAAATTCCACAAATTTAAAAATCTCCACACTCTAAACTGTGTTTAGATAATTCATCATACTGTACAGTCTCAATTTTAATTCTCTTTGATTAATTCTACTTTCTTTAATGATTTTTTAATAGTTCACTTTTATCAACTGAACCTTACATTGCACTTTTAGAATTTTTATTCTTGTGCTTTTAAAAATTAAAGTTCAATAATAGGAAAACAAATTGTTCCCAGGAAAAATATTTTCTCAACAAAATGTTCTCAGGAAAAAAATTTTCCTAAGAACATTTTGTTTTCCTATTATTTAGAAAGAATATTTAGAAAGAATATGAAGATTCGGGTGGCAGCCAGAATCTTTATATTTCCAATTTTTTACATGATTTTATCAAATATTTACATCAAGTTGCAACATCAAGTTTATCTAAGATCTCTTTATGATCAGTTTTTTTAACTTACATCTAATATCACAAGTTTTGTGAGCAATTGTTTATAACTTTACACTTATTTCTGCACATGTTCTAAAATTTTTTTCTAAAATAAGATTAATAAAAAATTGTTTAAACTGTTACTTGTGGTCCAAATTTATATGATATATTTATAATAAAATCAATAATTTTAAGTTCAAAATTACCTGACTACAAATTAAACATAAAGAGAACCAATTTTTTGTATCATATGACCAAAAACAGAAGAAAATTGGCTAGCTAAACTTAAATTGAAAAAATTTTAAAAAAAAGACCTACCCTAATATATATATATATATATATATATATATATATATATATATATATATATATATATATATATATATATATATATACATACATACATATATATATACATATATATATATATATACATACATACATATATATACATATATACATACATACATACATACATACATACATACATACATACATACATACATGTATGTATGTATGTATGTATGTATGTATGTATGTATGTATGTATGTATGTATGTATGTATGTATGTATGTATGTATGTATGTATGTATGTATGTATGTATATATGTATGTATGTATGTATGTATGTATGTATGTATGTATGTATGTATGTATGTATGTATTTATGTATGTATGTATGTATGTATGTATGTATGTATTTATCTATCTATGTGTGTGTGTGTATATATATATATATATATATATATATATATATATATATATATATATATACATATATATATATATATATATATATATATATATATATATATATATATATATATATATATATATATTAGTAAAACTCATAAATTTTTTTTATCAGTGACACAAATAAATAATAGTATTTTAAGGAGTCACCTGATCAGCTAGAGCAGATATAACTAGACCAAGAGTACTTAAAGATTTGTTTATATTGCCACCTTCTTTTAATCGATCACCAGTTGCATTTGTTTTTGATGCTCTTTCAGACCCTGCTAGGTCAACCAAACTGATCTTGCTAACTCTCTCCCCAGTAGTCTAAGCATAAAATCAAATATTTTATGTTTAACTAATTTCTGTTGCATTAAATAATTTAAAATTAATTTGAAAAATATACAAAACAAAAACTACAAAAAATATAGTACACAAAACCAAAAATTTCTGTAAAAATATCGTCTTTCTAATATGAGCACATCATTAAAATTCACAAGATTTTTGCCAAGAAAGCTTAACAAATTAAAAGATTTATTATTATTTAATCAGGCCTTGGCAGGAAATGAGACCTTTAGCTATCGCTCTCGACCACACTCCCCTAAAAACGGTTTGCAGGAGCAATTTACAGCTCTCGCAAAAGTATTTTTTTCTCTCAATAAATGATGCTTATTATGTGTAAATTATTGTAACATTAATGTTACCAACATATGCCTGTAACAAGTATAAAACCAAAATTTTTATTTAAAAAGCTATTTTTTATATAAATAAACAGATAGCTTGTGCTAAAACCAAAAGCTTTTGTAAAAGTTTAGAAGAGCAGCTCGCATGGTTCGCCATGTTCAACTTAGGAGAGCTTTTCTCCATTCTTGCACTTATTTATTCCCGTCAAGGCCTGTATAATTATAAATATTATAATATACTTAATACTATTGACTTTATTATTGACTTTCTTACTGATGTTTAACTTTATTATTGATGGAAAATGTCAATTTTATGATTTTTATTTTATTACACTATGCAAACAGTCTTTGTGTGACTTACAAATAGTCTTTTTACTACACTATGTTAATAGTCTTTGTGAGGCTTATAAATAGTTTTTGTGTGACAAATAGTGTTTGTGTGACTTATAAATACTCTTTGTGTGACTTACAAAAAGTTTTTGTGTGACTTACAAATATTGTTTTTATTACACTATGTATATAGTCTTTGTGTGGCTTACAAATAGTTTTTGTGTGACTTGTATAAGTATTAAAATAATAAAATGCCATCTAACAAAAAAAACTGTACATAAAAATGAAGCATAAAATGTGGTGTAAAATGAATCAACAACTTTATTGCAGATTCTAACGAGTATTTGTTTTAGTCAAACAGATTTGTAAATGGTTTTGAAATCGAACAAAACCATTTACCTTGTTTTACTTTCTTTATAAACATATTTTCAAAATGTTTTTACTGAATACTGATAAGAAAGTTGGCTGCCATTTTTTCTGTTCACAAATCTAATTCAACAGTTTATTATAGTCTTGCTTGTTGGAAAATAAAATGCAGTAATAAACTAATTTCTAAAAAAAATAGATCAACATCTAACAAGACAACATTTGTTAACTGCTATAAACATACAGTTTTGTAAAATGTTTTTTATAGATAATTAAGAAATGTTGTTATGATGTAGCATGTCATTTCTTTTTGTCAAATTCTTTTTTTGCTAAAGTTTGATGCAAATACGCTCAAGTTTATTATATCTAAAAGAACTTGTTAATTCAATTCACTTGAACTTGTTTATTCAATTCACTTAAACTTGTTTATTCAATTCACTTGAACTTGTTTATTCAATTCACTTGAACTTGTTTACTCAATTCACTTGAATTTGCTTATTCAATTCACTTGAATTTGTTTATTCAATATTTTATAGTAAAAGTCTGTCCATTACAAAATCAAAGCTTTTTTAAAGAAGAAATGTTTTAACCATTTATTTTTCTGAAATAGTTTACGTAAGCTATAGACAAGCAAATAAAACTAAACTATTTTTTGCTGCTGTATAAAACACCAAAAATCCTAAAGTTTTTTTTAAGTTGTGTTCTTATTAAAAAGTATGTTTAAAAAAAAATGTTTGGGCTAAATTTTTTAGATCAAAACAAAATGTATACCAAGAAAAACTAATTTTGTAGTTTTAGTAAAAGCTCTATTTTAATTTTAAGTAGCATAGTTTCACATTACATCTTTGTTCAGTGCCAAAATTACACCATTGTTCAATGCCAAAAATTAAAAGATTTAATTTTGACACTTAGCAATATCAAAATAATTGTTCATTCGTTGTTTTTTTTGTCTTTTTTTTAAAGAGGTTCTAACTCGTATGAAGTTTCTGACATTAACAGCTATTAAAATAATTGTTCATTCTTTTTTTTTTTCTGACATTAACAGTTATCAAAATGAACATTTTTAAAACTACGTTAGTTTTTCTTTGTATACATTTACTATTTTATTCTATCATAAAAATTTAGTACCCAAATTTTTTTTAAACATTTAATTGATATGAACACAACTTGATCTCAACACTTGGGGATCCCTTTAACAAACTTTTGAAGGTTAACAAATCAGCACAACGCTTAAGACGATTGACAAAAATAAAATACCTTTGTAATTTCATCATACTGTGCATATGTCATAATGACATTAAAAACTGCATGTGATCGACTACTTTCAGCATTCATACTTGTTGCTGCAACAGTTCGTGATTTGTTTCCCTCTATCATAAGATTTTCTATAGACTAAAGACAGGAAAAAATTAATTTATTAAACAAAAATATTATTTATATGCATAAACATATTTATTAGTTAATAAATAAAAAAGGATAAAACACAAACTTAAATTAAATACAACAAATGAAGCCAACCTCAAAATCATTAACAAGTAGTTTTGAAAGGCCATCAACATATGGCCCAAGTAGAGCATGTTCACGCACACGCAAAATATGCTTTTCACTAAAAAGATGTTGTCTTTATAATATATTTATAATATATAAAAAATAATACTCTAAGTAATAGTAACTATTTTTATAATTAATATTAATTATAAAAAAAATACTAAATGTTAATTAAAAATATAAAAAAATATTTGAAAAATATAATTAAATTAATAGTTTCAATAATCCAATCTTTAACTTTTTGTTTACCAAATCAAAATGTTTTATATGGTTGCTACTGGAAAAAAGCTTATCTTATAAACTCCAGAAACTTTCTAGAACTTTTAAGAAAAAAAAGATTTTTAAGGAATTTTATACAAATGTAATTATTATAAATACACAACTACTTTTTGAAATTAAACAACTAAAAAAAAATAATTAATGTTTAGATGAAACCATTACAGTCTTATAAGTAAGTTTTTGCAAGTTGTTAAACATTTATTACGAGGTATGTCATTAAACAAATATTACAAAAATAAGGTTGTATTTGTAAAGTTTCTAAATTATATATATTTCTTAGTTAATATATTTATTTATATTTGTGTGTTATTTATTAAGTGTCTTTATGTGTTAAGGTTACATGGGTTTGTATTTTGTGTGTAAACATCTTTTATATATGAGTGTTTCTATGTTTGTGATATAATGTTATTTGTTTATAGTATGTAAGTGGTTATTATGTTGTTTGCATGGTTTTAAATTGTTGTGACTTAGTTAGTTTACAACAAGAGTGTTGACCTTGCTAACCAAGTGGTGTACTTTGCTACAATGTGATTTGGCTTTGTTGGGAGCAAGATTGTTGTCCATGCCAAATAAGTAATGTCCTGTCATGATGAAAAACATAAATTAAATCTGCTTGTAGTTAATGTGTCATAAAAAGTGTTGAAAAAATATTGTTAAAAGAATGTGTTTAAAAAAAATGTTGAAAAGATATATAGTTTTTTAATATCTGTAATTTTTTTAGTATTTCTAATTTTAAGTAAATTTTATTGAACAGATTTATACTTCATTAACTATTTTTTATACTGTTACTTTTTGAGTAAATTTGTTTAAAAGATATATACTCTGTAAATTTGTTTAAAAGATATATACTCTTTTTTACAAATGGCTCCTCCCCATTTAAACACTTAAGAGTTTTTATTTCCTTCAATAAATATGTTTAACTTAAATTTATTGTTTATTTTTTATAAAGGTATGTGTACAAAATGTTACATAAGTTTTAGTAACTTTCATTAAATTTTTAGGATTTTTTGTATAGAGAATGTTTTCTCCATAATAATATTTTAATACTTTTTATATTGATCTAATTTCTTTAGAATATTAAATATATAATATAAAATTAAACCAGTTCAATAAGTTTCAATACTTTCAGTTTCTTCACTTGAAGCAAATATATGATTGTTTATAGAGGTTTTCTATTAACAGTTTTACATTTACTTATTAATTGCAAATCTTGCATTAAATGTGTTTCAAAGTAGTGAAAGGGATTTTTTGACAAAGGATTAAATTTCACCGTTTAATACTAGCATTATTTGCTGAGCAGACAGCCCTTATAATTTTTTCAATTTGCTTTATTTACGAGTTCTTATCTGTAAAAATTTTGTTACTTATATAAATTACTTTTTATTATTTTTTTGATTAAATACTAATAATATTTTGTCAATAATTATCAATGGCAACATTAAATATATAACATTACTCAGTTATCAATTAATCAATTTAATACCAAATTATATATAACTTTAGTTTAAGTTCTTTGTAGAAATACGTTATCTTTGCACATTGCTATTTTAGATAAGTTAAGAAAGAAAACTGAAAATTCAATCTTGAAATAAAAGTGCAAATTTATTATATTAGGTATCATTTCTACACACTCCTTTGATGCTTAGTTATGTCTGATAAGTAAAGAAGTAAAATTATAAGACTTCGTTGAAATGAAAGAAACCAGGCTAAACAAAATGAATTTAACCGTTATCAAAATGAAAGAGATGAGCCTAGGTGAGCTGAAATAAAAGTAGAAATAAAAGATATTATGATTGCTTTTATTGTACAATACTATTTTATAATACGGTAGCCATTTTTAAAAAAGCCTTACGGTAAAAAAATCAAATTTGATTTTTTTAAGAATTTGAATAAAATCATAAAAGTTTTTAGTTTCAAAAAATGTTTTAATTTTTCCTCTAATAATTTTTTAATTGCATTTTTTCTGATATATGTAATCTTAACGTCATACAAATATTTCTTTTAATTAAATCAATCAATGTAATAAGTCAAGTTTAAGTGAGTACAATAGTTTTATTGTTTTACTTATATTTAATACTTATAGACACTTATATTTGACTTCTTGCATAGATTGATTGCTTTTATTGTAATTATAATTTTTATGTAGCTGCAGCTTCTTCTACTACGACAAGAAAGATGTTGCACACATATAATTGACTAAATACATTAATTGTTTTTATTATTATTATTTTTTTAATATAAGTATCTTCACTTTAAATAATTATGTTTATTCATGCTAGATTAAATGTGGCGCATGTTCTAAAACCAAGTAATTTGTATTACACATGCATAACAAGTCATTTGCATAACATTTGCAAATACACATGCATAAAAAAGGCATGTCATTGAATGAAAATTTCACAAATGTTATATTTGTAAATGCAGGGTAGTCACCAATTCAGAGAAAATCAGGGAAATTTAGCCTACGCAAACATTTTCAAGACCAAAGACTTCAAATTTTGCCTTGCGTTAAAGCCAATTATTAACACAACTGTAAGTAGCAAGTGGTGTGACAATAAAACCACATTTTGTAAAAATAGACTAAGGTTATGGGCAGAATTAAATGAAATTTTTTTTTAAAGCCAAGGCCAAAACAATCAATGCCAAGGACTAACAACTCTGGTTCGGGGGAACAAAAAATGAGTTAACTTCAACTAAAATGAAGTTTTTTGGTTACATTGCAAGTTTGTTGCAGAAAATCTTACTGAGATATCAAAGCAATGCCCTAATGATTCCCTTTCTTTTTGAAGATTTATTCTTAACTGTTAAAAGTTTAATGGGTTTAATTATAAAACAAGATGTCCTTAGCATTGTTAATGGCAGGCAACTTCAAAAATATGATTTTACAAAAAAGGAAAACTTTCTTCTATAAAAATTAATGACAATTGGATTTGCTGCAGAACATGACATTATGGAATTGAGGAAAAAGGATGCATTATCTCAGGATGTTATCAACAGATTGAGGCTTGGTTGGGAAGCGGGTGCGATTGCAATCGATAACTGACCACAGAAATAATATTAATTGCCAAAAACCAGCCAGATTTTTTAGTAATTTTGAGAACATTTAAATTTTTGTATGTTTCCTTAATTAAATTCATTATTTCATCGTAAATTTTAAAATATTTTGTTTTACGGACATACATGGAAACATACATAATCTCGAATGTTCTCAAACATCTTTGTGCGGAAAAATAAAAAAAGAATATTTGCGAACACAAAAAACCCGCCAAATCTATGAACAACTAATTCTATTGGTTCAAAAAATACTAACCCAAATTTCTAGAGTATTCTGTTGAAATATTTTTAAAAATTGTATTATTTGAATTTTGTTATGTTTTCGTTGAGATTTCTAGCATAAATTGTTTTAAGAATATACTATCAAACGAACAATTATTTTAATTCTTGGAGCCACATCTACAAAGCTATAAATGTTTTAAACTAACATTATTTGTTTACAAACAAAAATGTTTTAAATTTATCTTCTTTAACTTGTAAACGTTTTGTAAATATATTATATATTTTATTAGTGTATTCTTATTTTTTATATAAGGGATGTACTTTTTATGTATGTAATGTATTTTTATGTATGTATTTTTTGTGCATGTAATTTTATGTATGTGTATTTTATTCAAATGTAATCTTTTAAAGCAATTTATGCAATTAATTTTGTAAACAAAAATACTTTCAATAATAACTGTGTTTTTGATGAAATTATTAATAATCATCAAAGTTAATACAAATAATTTTAACAACTAATTCATTTTCCTCAGTGTACCCGATAACTGATTCTTTCCCCCAAGAAAGAAAAGTTTTTAAGTTCTTAGAATTTGGTTTACTAACTTCAATTATTTTTGCTTCAGCCATTCTTACAAACTTGTTATACTTAAAACTTAAAGTTACTTTTTTCTGTTTTAAATACTAATTAAAATTATAAAGCCCACTCACTAAACATCATCAGCGCTATTGTGAAGCAGTTCTGCTTCCTCCTCATATAGTAATTTAACGATTTTAGTTCATTTCTATTTAGCTAATTGAATTTCTACAATAACTCAATGACTTAATTATTTCATTTGTTCATCTTATTAAGAAAAATTGTTTCAAATGTGTTAAACTTTTCAAACTACGCAAAGCATAAAACAGTTATTCAAAAAACATTTTTATTTATAAATAAATCATCTAGCGTTAGTTTTATTGGTTGAATCTTGTTGGACTTTTCAGGGCTGGGGACTGCATTATTTTGGCGGCCTTTTTATGTGCCACAGCATAAAAATGACTAAAAAAATACAGAATGGTCCTCTTGACTATTTTGCAGCCCCTAACCTTGTGAGTCCCAAGGCTATAGCCCTTCTACTCCCCCCCCACCACCTCCTCAATCCAGCACTGGAAATAAGACATAAGTATATAAATAAAAATTATATATACTCTTTGATAAATCGAAGAACATTTGTTTCCTAATTAAACAATCATTAATATTAAGTTGTTACTTTATACAAAAAATGTCACTTAATTTTATAAAAAAAATTATAAAAGAGCGACGTTTCAAAAATATTTGCTCTAATCGTAAATCCCGTCAAGATCTTTAATTTAAAATGATTATTGGATAGTTTTATTACTTAAACTAGATTAAAAATTAACCAGGAAGGCAAGAACTTTATTAAAATGCAAACTGTGTATATTTTTAGCGAACCAAGACATTTTAATGAGCACAGAGTCATGATGTTTAAAACATTTGCGCATCATCATATTGCGCAATTTAAATTAAATGTAATGGTATTGAATGTATGGTACCATTTATACTTTTATTACTTTTTGTACGATCAAGACGGTTTCCATTTCCAATAAGTATCAATCGCACAAACAACGTTTAAAAATTTATTAGCCTAATTCCGCTGTTAAAAAAGTTTAACTGTATGAATTTGTTAAGAGTTTTTTTACGGAAAGGCTTTTATAAAATATATCAAACAGATATAGTTAACTTATTTGAAATAACTAGGCCTCTTGGGCCCATTTTTCAATGTCCAAATTTGCTTTTTAAATAAATCCTTATGAGAGAGTTAAAATATTATCATTGCCTAAGTTTCATGCAACTGCATTATATGCTAAAGATACATTTATTATGTAGAAAATATTAAAGTAAATAAGTAATAATTAAAAATATTAATTAGTTCTAAAGAACAGTAAATTAAAAATCAAGAACTTTAGGTAGTCAGTAAAATGCTAACTGTGTAATTTTTAGCGAACCAAAACACTTTAATGACCACAACAGTCATGATATTAAAAATATTTGCTCATCGATTTTTTAAATATATTGGTATTTGATATATTTTATTTAAATTAGACTTTTCATTTAAATTAATTATAATTTAACAAGCAATAGATTTATGGTTTGCATTTTACCCAGGCTTGGTCGGGAAGCGGGAGCGATCGCTCTTGAACACTGACCACGGAAATTATATTTAGTTGCGTAAAACTGGCCAGGTTTTTTACTCGTTTTGAGAACATTTAAGTTTATGTACGAAACAAAAAATTTTTGTTTTACGGACATACATGGAAACATAAAAAACTTGAATGTTCTCAAAACATCTTTGCAAAGAATAAAAAGAATATTTGTGAACACTTAAAACTTGCCAAATTAACGAACAAACTAATTCAATTGGTTCGCTGATTAAGCGAAAAAAAGTTCTAGAGTATTCTGTTAAAATGTTTTAGTAATTGTATTATACACGATTTGTTACGTTTTGAGATCTCTAGCATTGTTTAAAGAATATATATTATTTGTTTACGAAAATAAATGTTTTAAATATATATTAATTAAATTGTTAAAATTTTAAAAGTTTATTATAAATCATAGATTTTATTAGTATATTCTTATTTTTTATTTTAAAAGAGATTGTATTCATTATGTAAATGTAATTTTGTGTATTCTTTTTTTATCGTAACATATCTTTTAAAGCAATTTTTATGATTTAAACAAAGACTTATAAAAAAAATTGCGTTTTCAATGAAGTTATAATCGTTAAAGTTAATAAACTCATTATGTAACAAACATATAAGAAGTTTCTGGTTACTAAACACAAACAACGCATACAAAGTAACTCGCGGATGAACAAGTACCGTGCCTGAGGTCACGACAGAACACATATATAGCAAATAATTAGATATAAAGAAAAGTTTCTAGATGTTGGTTTACTAACTTTAATTATTTTTGCTTAAGTTGCCATTCTTAAAACTCTTTATACTTTTTTCTGCTTTAAATACTAATTAAAATTAAAAAGCCCACTCACTAAACATCATCAGCGATATTGTGAAGCAGTTTCGCTTCCTTGTCATAAAGTATTTTTAACCTTTTTAGTTAATTTCTATCTTGATAATTTAATTTCTATAGTAATTCAATGATTTAATCATTTCATTTGTTTATCTTGCTAAGAAGAATTGCTTCAAATATGTTAAACTTTTCAAATTACGCGAAACATAAAATAGGTATTAAAAAAATTAACTTTTTTATTTATAAAATAAATTAAGCTTAAGTAAAACTAAAACTTGCAAACTTAGTTAAATAAAGAATATTTGTTTCCCTTTTAAACAATCGTAAGTTGTTACTTTATATAAAAAACATCGCCTAATTTTATAAAAAAATTATAAAAGAGCGATGTTTCGAAAATATTTGTTCTAAATGTAATTTATTTAGCTTCAAGTTTTTTTTGCGTTTAAAGACATTTTATTTGCCTATTTTTTTTTTGCTTTTTAAAATGTTCTCAAAACGTCTAAAAAATCTGGCCAGCTTTTCGCAACTAAATATTATTTACGTGGTCAGCAATCGAGAGCGATCGCTCCCGCTTCCCGACCAAGCCTGTTTACCATCTACCAGAACTTAAAATTGATTTATTTTTTGCCGTTTACTAAAATAAATTAAAGTATAAAGACTAAAGAGCAAGTTTGTAAATTGTCGGGTGTGGATTAGACTTGCCACGACCCGTATCGTACGGGTCATACCAGCTAGTTTTATTTAATTTATATTAATTGTGATTGCAAAAGATATAAGACATTTCCAGAAATTTTTATTTTCTAAAAATAAAAGGACTTTCCAGGTAAGGTTTTAAAATCAAAGATTTTTCAGGATAATAAGAAATCCATTAGATAGGCACAAAACTTAGAAAAAGGGTTTAACAAATCTACAAATAAGGAAACATTTAGCATAAAATTGAGAGAAAAACACAAGCCATGTCTGTCAAATTTTTTTCAAACATTGATACTGGCTTAAAAATTTGAAAAACAAACAGCAAATTTATTTTAATTATTTTATTTAAAATTAATTGTTTAGCTTTTCACTTTTATTTTTTTTTTTTTTTTTTTACAATTTATTTAAAAGGTTTGTATTCAGATTTTAAATAAAACATTTGTTTTTATTGTTTTATTAAGAATTTGAATAAAATTTATTTAGGGGTTTTTTGTATTAATTCATTTAGAACTTAACTAAAATATTTGTTTTTTCATATTAATTATAATTATTTTTTTTAGAATTAAATAAAACATTTATTTTGCAGTTACATTTTCTTAAATTTTATTTTATATTTATTATTTTGTTCAGAATTCTAGAATTGTTTAAATCTTCAAAACTTTTCATCTATTTTAATTTAGATAATTCATTGAAATTTGAAATTATTTCATATTAGATTACATGCTAAGAACTCACAACTGATATATTTTTAATGCTGATATATTTTTATTTAATGTTTACTTGTAGACAAGTTGCATCAATCAACTTGTAAAAAACAAACAAAGAGAAGCATTATAAAGATGCAAAAACTGAATTCAACATTTTTATTGACTCATAATAAATTTTATAATAAACACATATTCATGAACACAAATAAAAAAAAAAATTTCCATACTTGTAAAAACAACAACAAGTAACTGAATAATAACTATTTAAATAGTTTTACTATTTAAATCATAATTTTTTATCGTTATTTGTTAGTTTAAGTTATTTCAAATTTCTTCAAAATAAACCAAATAATTCTTTTATTCTTTTGAAAAAAGAAATAAACTTAAAAATTGTGGTTCTTTATGATTGCTATGATAAAACAATGAACTAAATTACTAATCATGTAAAGAAATTGAATTGTAAAAACCTTGAAGGAGATAACAAATCTCGAACTTTTTCATTGTATATTTCCATGTAAGAAACTTCAACTTTGAATGTTGTATTTTCATCAGAACTCTAAATAACATTCAGTAATTTTAAAAATAATTATTTCAATTTTGAAAAATTAGTTTTATAAAATTAATTATAGCCCTAATATATATATATATATATATATATATATATATATATATATATATATATATATATATATATATATATATATATATATATATATATATATATATATATATATGTGTGTGTATATATATATATATATATATATATATATATATATATATATATAACATACTGTAACATTGAAGATGAATATGAAATCAATAAAAAATTAAAAGTGGTTTCATAATGACACAGCAAATTAAGCTCCGATTTCCAAACATATATTATAAATTATAAATTATAAAATATTCAGTGTATATTAATTAATTATTATTAAGAATAATCTAGTTGGTTTATTTTTATTATTGCTGCCTTCATTTTAAGAGTACTCTTTTGAATATATCTTTTTACTGTAATATAGTAATATATTGATGTTCAATGAAAATCTCTGTGGAAGAAAGTTAATGAATTTCTACTTCTAGTTATTATTTAAATTCTGCTTGACAACCTTTATGGATAAACCCTTACATCATGTAGCAAATTAGTTCTTCAAAAGAAATGTTTTAAAAATAGATAAGGTTTTGAAAATAGTAAACACGAGCTCTTAAATTTTATATTTCACATTTATTGCAAGTTCAACTTTATAACTAATAATAATATTCTTTATACAAAAATTACATAGCAAAATAAAGTTATAGTTACAGTCTCAGTAAAATTAAAACAATAACAAATGTTGTTTAATTATAGAAGAATATTGATCGCAAGGGATTGCACACTATTGATCGCAAGCGATTGCACACATGTCAATGAAGAATATTGATCGCAAGCGATTGCACACATGTCAATGAAGAATATTAATCGCAAGCGATTGCACACTATTGATCGCAAGCGATTGCACACATGTCAATGAAGAATATTGATCGCAAGCGATTGCACACATGTCAATGAAGAATATCAATAGTTACTTTTTTGTTCATAGTTTTCATTCATAGTTATAAAATGTTATGAATATGTTTTTTCAAAATTTAATTTACATTTTTATATGGGTATTTACGTTTTAAATACAAGCAAGCAGTAAAGTAAAGAAATCTATTTTCCTTGTCCAATAAATTTTTAACTATAAAACATTTTTTATATTTAACTGATATTTCAGAGGTGGTTTTTTAAAAAAGAAGTGAATTAATAGTAGATAAGTAAAAAAAGATTTTAGTTGATGTGATCACCTAATTCAGTTAATATAAAATACCAAACAAAAAAATGAAAAACAATAACTAAAAGATTTAGGGATTGTCGGTAAACTACGTAACTACGTAATGCAAATTTTCACAATCAAAAAAACAAAAAAAATCAAAAATTTTCTCTCGCAGGGTCTTAATTTAAAAAAAATAAAATAAAAATAGCCCATTCAGTTTAATGAAAATCCTCATGTAAAAGAGCTTAATATCTCTGACTTCTGTTTTTTAAATATATTTTGCGTTGCATAATTTACGACCAATTATGGATATTATGGTAAGGGGTTACCATAATATCCATAATTGATCAAAATTTTGAAAGTATCTGACATAAACACCTTCTCAATATTTTTGTTGACGAAGCACATGTACTACTTGAAGTTAATTTGCAGTAATACTAAATAAGTTATTTAACTTTTCTGCCAAAAATGGTAAAGCTTTTAAAGAAATAGCATTTGCTAAAATAATTATCAAACAAATTTGTTATTATTTTAGATTTTTTAGATTAGTGCTTTATTTCTAACTTTTTTATATAATATTTGCTGATGATGGAATGCATTGCAAAAAATTATTTGCAAATTATTAGAAATTAATTTTACTTACAAGTTGCTGAGAAAATCCCTAAAATTGCCTGGAAAATCCCTTTCTCAAAAAGTACTGTCAAAGAGACATTTTCACAGTTATGCATTTGCGTAGTTATAGAAAATAATGACAATTTTATTTCAAGTTTTACGCAATTAATGAATTAAAAATTCTTATTTTATTTTTCTATTAGTTTTTAATAATAATTATTTTTCAATAATTTTTGAATTATTATTAAACTTTAATTTGGCAAAATTTATTTTGAGAGTGGGATTTTTTCCCCTTTAAATTTGGAATTTTAATTTGGTGAGCATTAGGGAATACCGCATTTTATGGGGCGCCACAGGGCTAGTTTACACCCTGTAGATATATATATATATATATATATATATATATATATATATATATATATATATATATATATATATATATATATATATATATATATATATATATGTATATATATATATAGAAAACAAAACTTGATTTTCACAACTTTAAGTTTCATTAAAATAATTATATACTAATGGAACTTGTTACATAAAACTAAAATTAAGAAACATATGTATGTATATATATATATATATATATATGTGTGTGTATATATATATATATATATATATATATATATATATATATATATATATATATATATATATATATATATATATATATATATATATATATATTGTAGGTAAATTATGAATCTCATCTTATTTCAAAGGTATGATTCAGAAGATGTAATAAATAAGGTGAAGAATCAAAATACTGCAGTTGTTGCAGTTTTTGCACGTATAAAAACTAAAGCAAGACATGATTGATGTCATGAAACTTTGAAATGAATGGCAGAATTTGATGAAAAATAAAGTGAACCTGGCAACAGGAGAGCAAACTTTAATAAATAATTAGATTCTCTTTTTGATATTCGTGCACCAGACATTGATGAAATAAAGAAATCAAGATTTTTGTCAGTCAGAAAAAAACAAGATGTCATCTATTTCTATTAGTTACAACAAGAAAAGTTGTTTAATATTTAAGTTTTAAAATACTCTATAGTATTTCAAAACTAAAAGTTTAAAAATACTTTTGAGTTTTGCTGGACTTAAAATTAACAAACCACTGTGAGCCCCAATCTGTTACAGAAGTGACACCAGATTCAAGATATGGTGTTTGCATTGGGATGGCAAGCTTTTAATAGATATGCTGAGAGACACATACAAGCGGCTTCCAATTCTTTTTTCTAGGGCTTCAGAATACAAAGAAAGGAAATTATTAAGTGCCCCTTCTCAAGCTCAAAAGGAGCACTCAGGCTGAAGCAACGCTCGATCTTCTAGAAGTTTGGAATCTGTCAGATAGTTGTGACTCTAGTATTTGACACAACAATGGTATACACAAAGGAGCTGCTAAGCTAATGGAAGCATGTCTAGATAGAAAGCTATTTTACCTAGCTTGTTGTCATCATATTTTAGAACTTGTTGTTAATGCTGTATGGAAATTGTTGTTTGGTATTATTTTAGGCCCTGAAAACAAACTGTCTAAAAAATTTAAAGATGCATTGTCAAAGTTGGATAAAAATCAAACAATTCAAAAACTGGAAACTATAAACGAATGATTGCTAAGCATAAATCATAAAGATGTCGAAGAACTTATAGGCATGTTATCTTGCAATGATTTAACAACTTTTCAAGGAGATGATTATCATAAATCTGCTCAAAATGCTCATATAATCTAGGGTGAAATTCCCCCACATGACGCCCACTTTCTCAAACCAGGGGCTATGCACCAGGTAAGTTGAATAACCAACAACATATTTGCTGGAAAGATGTATATGTTTTCCAATTTTCCAAACAGATGCAATATGATGATGCTATGGTTGCAAAACTTATAAGTATCAATGGATATTTAGCTCATTTTTACAATCCTGCATGGATGAAAGGATGCTTTGATTTAAGTTTAAAAATCGCACACGCCAGCCTAAAAATGCTCGCTGCAAATTACAAATGGAGAAGACTGTAGACATTTGCCAATAAATATTAAAATGAATGCCAAATTTTGTCAAAATAAAATTTGTTGAACACTGATATATATGTGTATACATACATATATACAAATATATATATATATATATATATATATAGATATATATATATATATATATATATATATATATATATATATATATATATATATATATATATATATATATACCTGTTAGCACTGTATATATATATACAACAACAACAACAAAAAGCAATATATTTGCCAAGAATATAGATGTTTTACAATAAGCATGTTATAAAATACAAATAAAAAAAAATATATGTATAGTCTATATTCTGGATGGTTCACTCTCATATAGCCTGGCTAAATCGAGGAGAGCGAACATGAGCAAAACAAAACGAAAGAAAAACAAAACAAACAAAAAACAAAAACAAAAAAACAAGCTAGCTAATACATTCACATAAAGTTGCTATTATTTAACATTCATATTTATATCATATCTCTTATAACTTCTATTGTCATAAATCTTTTATCACCAACGATTCAATTATTATTTTAATTTATCTTGATGTATCAGGTAGTATTTTAATTTAGTTTTGAGAGTATATTTTTTAATATTGCAAAAAGGGATTGTTTTTAATTTATTTTGAAGTTGATTCCAGTTCATTATTGCATAGTATTTAAAGGATTGTTTACCATAGGATTGTGTATTATATGTTTGCACACTCAGTGCACCGCTACAAGAATTTCTTGTAAATCGACTGCTAATTGCACTGCGTGGAGTAAATTATTCATAAAATATAGGAGGCATTTTTTTATCAAGGCAGCTGTGAATAAATAAGCAATTTTCAATTTTAATTAAATCATGTACTTTTAAGATATGTAATGTGTTAAAAGATGTGGATCTATGTGAATTTTTTGGAAGAAACTCAATAATTCTGACTGCTTTTTTCTGCATGATAAATAGGCGATTAATAATACTCATATTTTGACTCCATGATAAAAGGCAATATGTGAGGTGAGAGTGAAATAAAGCATAGTAAATAGATTTTAAAGTTTTTTGTTGAATGAAATGTCTTAGCTTTGATAGAATGGCAAGGGATCTATTCAACTTATTAGAGATATCGTTATAATGATAAGCCCAGTTTAAGTTTTCGTCTAGCTTTATACCCAGGTAGTTAACAAATTTTTTACAACAAAGTTTTTTCCCATTTAATTTAACTTTGATCTGCTGGTCTAATTTTTTGTGGGGACTTTATATATATACCTGTTATATAAATATATATATGTACATACATATATACATATATTTTTTTGTGGGGACTGTATATATATATCTGTTATATAAATATATATATATATATATATATATTTATATAACAGGTATATATATACAGTCATATATATGTATATATACATACATATATACATATATATACCTGTTAGTACCTGTGTATGTATATGTATATATATATATATATATATATATATATATATATATATATATATATATATATATATATATATATATATATATATATATATATATATATATATATATATATATATATATATATATATACACACACACAGGTAGTTAGTAATGTATAACTACTGTTAGTACAGAAATATGCTTATATATGCCTAATTAAATAACTGCACATACGCACCCGATTAATTCTTTCAAAAAGTGAGTCACATATTCTAGGTATAAGTCCCTTTTGACCAGGAGCACCCATCATTGAAAAACTCTTTCCAGAACCTTAAAAATATTTTTAAATAACAGATAAAAATACATTGAAACATATATTTATTATTTTTAATATAATCCTTTGTTATTTCCATTATTAGCTGTTAATATTATTATTAACTAGCACTGATCTTATTAACTAAAAAATAATATTAAAGCTAAATATGAACCTGTTTGTCCGTATGCAAAAATACATGCATTATACCCATTGAAGGCATTTTCTAGAACATCTGTTCCGAGACATTCAAAAACATATTCTTGTCCTATAATAAAAAATTAAAATATAGTTAACTGTAACAAGAATCTTTTACTCAGCTAGTTATAGATTTTTTAAAAACTTTACCTGAAAATCTTGGATCGTCTTTATCCATAGACCAAAAACAATGATCAAAAGTAAATGACTGAAATGTATAGTAAACAATGGTCGTATTTAAATTATTGAATGAATAGAAAACAGTTATTATTGTTACCTATTTATTAATAGTATTAATCATAATAAAATATTAATAACAATAATAACAACAATAATAATAATACTAACAATGCAAATATGTGTATGCTAAGGAAAAAATGTTTTTAAAACTATGCAAGAAAATATTTCTTTTAACTAATTATATTCAATTATTTAAAATTTACAATTTAATGCAACAGACAATTATTTAATTTTTTTATTAAAAAAAAAGTTTTAATACAAATTAAAAGTAATAAATAGTGTATATACTTGTGCTATTTTGAATACAAAATTTTTCATATGCAATAAAACATTGATATCTATTACCTTATTTTTATTTAGAAAACTTCTTTTTTTAAAGTATTTCATGTTAAGATATTTGATATTATTGTCACAGTACCCTTATCTTCAAAAGACTATCAGAAGTTTTTCTGATTTATCTCAAATTTTGATTCAATTGAAAATTTTTAAAAAATATTTTTGATATCATTAATTTAAATGTATTAGCGGACTAAAAAATTACAGCACATCAAGGCTTCCTATGGTCACACACCTTGTTTGCCCACATTTAAAGTAATATTTTTAAACACACTGACCATGGCAGTTTGCATCTTTTAACTTTTTAGGCATTTCAATGATTCACAGCAAAAAGCTTATCTTATCTACTGAGGGAAAAAAATTCTTAAAAAATAAAACAAAATTGTAATGAAATATCAAATTTTAATTAAATAAACTAGAAAAACTGAATAATTTAAAAAAAGAAAACTAAAAAAAATTTTTTTATATAAAATTTCAAATTAAATTCTTTTTTTTTAAGGTGATTGTTATTTTTAGTTTCTGAATTTGATACAAATTGAGCAAAAAAACATATAAAACTTTAATATGCAATTTATTCAGAATTTGTTCAGCCCTGAAGATACTTTGTTAGATCCTTTACCACTTTTTTCCAACCAAGTATAAAAAAATATTTTTTCTTTATTTTTAGCTGTTTCATCAAGTCGAACAAATGTTAAATTGTAAACTCTAATTTGTTGAGAAAAACTCACTTACACTTAGTTTGCATATTGGTTGATTTTTTTGCATATCGAAGTAAACTTTAATGTTTTCTTTCAATAGAGAATAAAACTTTTTGGCGCTTAATAAGTCCAAACAATATTTACCTGCCTTTACTTTAATGTCAATTTTTTTTTTCATCAATTTTTTTTGTGTTTCGCAAAATGAACAGATATCTGTTCTTGGATTTCCAAATTCAATATTAAAGTTTTGGGAAAAATTTTCTTAAATTTTGAAAGCAATGAAATATTACTTTGATTTCTAAAAGGTTTCCAGTTTTACTATAATTTCATAATATTTAGTTCAGTTGGAAGATATAATCTGACACTTTTTCCTCTGCTATAATGCAAAGCACACCCTTAAGTTGGCTAATAAAATCCACATGGAGTTAGTTATTTCTCTATCTTTTTTAGATTGTTTAAAACTTTAACGAAGTTCTGGTCGTTTACACCCATTTTTATAAAACTAATTCAAAATATTTTGAAACCTTTTTCTTTCAACACAAGTAATTGACAAGTTTTCCTACAAATTGAAACTGTTTTTTAATGTCCAGTCAGTGATTTTATATTTAATTGAATGTTTTTTAAAACTAACTTGCCATTCTTGGGTCTGCACCTATTTACTTGATTAACATTTACAAGTTTTAAAAGAAAACCATCTTCTTTCACCTTTGATTTTACTTTATAGAGCAAATTGGAAAAGTCTAAATAAAACTTATTGCAATAAACAAAAATAATGTTATACTGTTAAATTTTGTAACCCTATTAATTATATGTTATTAGAAATAAAAAATATTATAACTCTTATAGGGTAATGCTTATTTATTTGAAACTTATAATTTACTAGTATCAACAATCTTGAACTACCAAAAAGTAACTATTGTCATAAAATGAACTTACTTAAAATATCCAGGTTGCTTAAACATAATACTTTACACCTTTGCCCGCAAGCTGTAGTTGGTAATTTTCCAAATAATGCTTTACTATTCTTAATTCTTTATAACATTTGCAGACAATCTTAATTAAGAACTGGATTATTGACACATTTTATTATTATACATTTAGTAAAAAACATTAACAATAGTAAATTTAAAACATAATTATCTTAGCAGGGGATTTTAAACTGATCGGTTTTAAAACAGCTGTTTTGATATGCATTGTTTGATAGTAAGTAAATTATTAAAGTAAAATCATATATATTTTTTCTAAATAAATATTTTTAATGCATTTTTCTTAAAAATTCACAATTTATAAATTTTTCATACAATGTTGTGTAAAACAAAAATTGTAGATTATATTATGATTTACTTAAACATAAATATCTTTTATAAAAATAAATGTTAACAAATAAAAATGATCAAAAATATAGAAACCAAGAAAACCTTCAAATAAAGTAAGCCATACCTTGGGTGGCCTCCTGAAAGAGAAATAAAAACTCATTTTCGCCATAATGAAATAAATATACGTTAATTTATTTATAATAACTAACTTGCTATGAAAAAAACTAAACATAAAGAACATTACTTAGACTGAATTTTAGTAAATCATTATTTTTATACATTTTACATAAATAACTTATCATTTGATTCAATAAGTTTCAACTTACTTTTCATTTTTAGGTGCTTTCAAAATGGTTTGATTATCTTTCATGTCAACTACAATATCTATCCCACAATCAATTTCTGAAAATTTAAAAAAAACATTAATACTTAAATAATAATAAATTAGAGATAAAATGTCAAATTTTATCTCTAATTTATTATGAGTTGATACTTTTACATCTAGAACAAAGAGCCTTGAAACTCCAAAAATGTTTAGGAACTTAACTAAGATAAAAAAAAAAAAAAAAACTTTAAGATTTCTTGAAATTATCATTTTTATTATTACTATTACTATTTTTAGTAGTTCTTAAGCAAAAAAGTAATCATCAACTCTTCAAAAATAATAATAAAATGTAAAAGTTGCGTTTTTTTCTCTAAATGATTAAAAATATTAAAAATTTTAGGAATTCTACAACCCTGCTAGCCCTAGGAAATACTATCTCTATTATAAGGTTGTTTAAAATATATAAACTCTATATATTATATATATGTGTGCTTTAGAAAAAACTTTATTAAACAAATAAGTATTTATTTATAATTGATTTAAAGTAAATTTAAAAATAAACCCAAAATACTAAAACATAAAATTTGTATCAAAAGTGGGAATAAAATTAGAAAAACTAGTATTTTTGCACTTTTAATTTAGCAAAATCTTAAATGTTACACTGTAATAGTATAATATTAAAAAATATTTAAAATTAAATATAAACTCATTTGGTTTTATAGTGTGTTATTTAAAGCTTTTTCATAATTTATTTATGTATTTGTTCAACTGTAAATTTTTATCATTTATAAGTTTTTATTATTTATATATTTTTATTATTTAAACTCAAAACTCTATTATAATAATTGTCTAAATAAAAAATATTTAAATACTATAGTTCTATAATTCATAAGTTTTCATTAAAACTTTTACATTTTATAATTTATAAGTTTTCATCAAGACTTCAGACATATTTAAGTTATTGAATCAAATGTGCAAATTAACAAATAGATGATTTGCTAACTGTTATTTTAGAAAATTAAAAATTAATGTCATGCATAATCAAAATAAACAGTTAAAAGAAATTTTTAAGGGATAAATTATTTTAACAATAACAACATTAAATTTAACTTCATTAACTATTAATTTTCAACTTGAATT